AGAGTGAGGAACAATTAGGGCGCTCAGCATATTGAGGGCAGTGTCTGTACAGCTTAATGATGTATGCACGTGAAACGGGCAGGCAAATGATGGCCCACAGCTTTTCTGTTGTACTGCACAGGAGCTAAAGATGGTGTTTACATTTTTAAAGGATGGTTCTTTTCAATCGAAAAAAAAGAGACTAATGTAGCACATAAGCCCAAAATCTTTACTATTTGACCCTTTACAGAAAAAAAAAATTGCTGGCATAAAATACCAAGAGTAATACTGGAAATAGCGAGCTAATCCTACATAATAAAGAGCTAATGTGCTAAGTAGACTTAACAGCAGAACGACTGTCCAGACAACCTTCTGGATAATCTTCCAGATGAAGCCAGGGCTGTGTGGAGCTCTGAGGGTCAGCCGAGCCAGCCGGGGCTTGCAAGGGTTGAGCTTCTTGCATGAATTTTGTGCATTGGGCCTCTAGTCTATATTAATAACAGGGAAATATGCTATAATAAGGCCCCATGGTGGCAGGGGCCAAGGCAGAGGCGATTAGGGGTGACCAGACCAGCAGGGGAGGGCAGTTGGGGGCAACCAGGCCAGCCAAGGAGGGCAGTTAGGGGCAACCAGACCAGCAGGGGAGAGCAGTTAGGGGCGAGCAGGCAGGCAAATAGGTGAATGGTTAGGAGCCAGCGGTCTCAGATTATGAGAGGGATGACTGACTGCCAGTTTAGGACTGATCCCTGAGGGGTCCCAGAATGAAGAGGGTGCTGGCTGGGCTGAGACACACACACACACACACACACACACACACAAACGCGCGCGCACAAATTTCATGCACTGGGCCTCTATGCAAGCTGGTATTCCTTTTTATGTGTTTTTCTATACTTCATCTGATTTAATTTTTCAGAGATTGATTAGTTTGTCATTCTCAGGAACTATTTTTAAGCAACTATCTGTAGGATTTTAGGAATCTTATAAATAAGAAGGTGTAAGAGGATATGATACATAGGTTTTGGAATTTAAGGGGAGGGGAATAATAAAGCCAAGGGTGAAATTAGCATATTTGACATACAGCCCCAGGCCTCTGGACTTCTGGAGGATGGCAGCAGATGTGATTGTAAATGTCCTAGTGTCTGTCCATACCAATGCAGAAAGCACAGCCTGAGATTGAGGACCAAGTTGCCTGTATCCCATCATTCATATAAATTCCTCTTTCCTACTGGCCTCGGTCTTAAAATTTGAATCTAGTGCAGGGGTCCACAAAGTCATTAGTCAACAGAGCCAAATATCAACTACAACAATTGAAATTTCTTTGGAGAGCCACATTTTTTAAACTTAAACTAAGTTTAAGTAGGTACATTGTTATTAACTTAATTAGGGTACTTCTAAGCTGGCTTTGCTAAAAACTCAAGGGGCCAAAGAGCCGCATGTGGCTCACGAGCCGCAGTTTGCCGACCAGGGGTCTAGCGCTTCAGCTGATTCGTTGGTGTACTTACAAATAGGCGGCACACTGGGCTGAATCAGAGCTGCTTCTGCTTCAAATGCTGAAATTGGCTTTCTCCGGCCATCTCAGCTCATTGTCCTGTCTTCCTTGTAAAAGTGGGCAGTGTACCTTGCATGATCTCTAAAGCAGTGTACCGTGGTAGCCCTTCTCTCGAATTATTTGTCGAATTAAAGGCATAAATAAGTAATCTCTCCTCAAATTAGTGCTGCCCCTTCTTTTTAATCACAGCCATTGACATTTAGCAGCCTGCTGAACATGATGGATTACACTTGAACTTCTCAAGCGGTTGCCTACTTTATCACATCTGCCTGCACTCCTCTCTGCAAAGTGCAGCCTGTCGGACACCATCTCATGCATTTTCAGAATATCGGTACTGCTGCTTTAATGCCAGGCTGGATTGTCCCAGTTCTAAATAAAAGCAGGCTTTTCTGAGGACTATAGTAGTGTTCAGTGACAATAATGTTCGTTACATATCCGTTTGGGATAAGTACTATTCACAATCTGGTTCTCAGTATGTTTTTTAAATATATTTTATTGATTTTTTTTTTTTACAGAGAAGAAGGGAGAGGGATAGAGAATTATAAACACCGATGAGAGAGAAACATCGATCAGCCACCTCCCACACACCTCCCACTGGGGATGTGCCCGCAACCAAGGTACATGCCCTGGACCGGAATCGAACCCAGGACCTTTCAGTCCGCAGGCCGATGCTCTATCCACTGATCCACACTTGTTAGGGCCTAAAGTATGTTTTTTAAGGCCAGAAGTCTGGATTCAAAACGCTTACTCTTCAGAAGACATGCAGATGTCTCCTCGATTTTTCTAATTTAATTCCTAGGCTGCTTGTGAATATCTAAAACAAATGTGATTAAGGCACACATGGAGTGCAGTGTAATGCCGTTAGATGCTGCAGGGTCTCAGCGATTGGGGCTTCAGTGATGGACAGATGAAAACCAGCTGCGGGTAGTTAGCACTTAAAGGCTGCACCTTGCCATTTAGCACTCACACATGCTCTGATTGCTGCCGTAATTCCATTTTGGGTTCGTTTTACTTCTCTGGGTGGTTAGCCCCTGAATTGGATTGAGTGTTTTAGATTTCTTCAGTAGCCTGTGAAGCGCATAGCAGTTAGCCAGTTTTTCAGATAATGGCTCATGTGTTACTAGGAAACCTTTAAATTACACTTTCACTGGTTAACTGCCACAATAGTTTGAATTTAATTCAGAAGGGTCTGCCACTTGCATTTATAGTAAGGTGACCAGACGTCCTGCTTTTGGCGGGACAATCCCAATTTTTAACAATGTTCCGCGTCCCCCAGCGTTTTAAAAAAGTCCCGATTTTTGGAAAGATTAATCGGGACTTTTTTAATATGCCGCGGGACTCAGGACAAATTGTTAAAAATCGGGACGTCTGCCGAAACTGGTTTGGCTCAGTGGATAGAGCATCGGTCTGCAGACTGAAAGGTCCCAGGTTCGATTCCGGTCAGGGGCATGTACCTTGGTTGTGATCACATCCCCGGTAGGGGGTGTGCAAGAGGCAGCTGGTCGGTGTTTCTCTCTCATCGACGTCTCTAGCTCTCTATCTCCTTTCCTCTCTGTAAAAAATCAATAAAGATATATTAAAAATAAATAAATAAAAAATCGGGACTTCTGGTCACATTAGTTTATAGACGCTTATGGCGTACAAATGGTTAAGAGTAATGACTGAATGTGCGCTTACATTTTTAAAAATATATTTTTATTAACTTCAGAGAGGGAGAGAGAGAAACATCACTGATCAGAATCATTGATCAGCTGACTCCTGCACGCCCCCTTCTGGGGAGTGAGCCCACGACCGAGGCATGTGCCCTCGGCTGGAATGGAACCCGAGACCCTTCAGTCCGCAGGCTGATGCTCTATCCACTGAGCCAAACCAGCAAGGGCAAATGAGCGCTTACATTTTCATTGCATCTGTTAACCTTTTTCCTGTTTACATTCACTGCATATGTGTGTGTTTCTGCATTTAGAACAGTGAACAGGAAGTATGGGTTGTGTTTTAAGATAAATTTACAGAAGGTCATGCCAGCCCTCTTGGAAATACCCTATTTGAAAGCTTATTATATTTAAAAAGAATGCAAATGATTCTCCTTTAGGTTAAATCTTAAAAGAAGTGGTCATTTTGCCATCTCAATTTCAGCATTACCCATAGTGAAACATCTGATCGAGATTATAAAATATGTCGTTTGTTTCTTAAGGCTTGGAGATTTTTTAATTCTATTCTGTTATTGAGTGAAGTTAGGAACAATAGGACTCTTTCAGTATCTGATTTCTAAAGATTCAAATTCTAAGTAACTGCTCAGCAACACATTGTGTTAGTGGTTCCATCTAACACAGTGGTCGGTCGGCAAACTCATTAGTCAACAGAGCCAAATGTCAACAGTACAACGATTGAAATTTCTTTTGAGAGCCACATTTTTTTAAGCTTAAACTTCTTCTAACACCACTTCTTCAAAACAGACTGGCCCAGGCCGTGGTATTTTGTGGAAGAGCCACACTCAAGGGGCCAAAGAGCCGCATGTGGCTCGAGAGCTGCAGTTTGCCGACCACAGGTCTAACAGATGCTTAAAAGCTCATGCATTTTAGGGTATTATTTTTGTTGTTGTTGTTTAACTTTTTAAAGTACATTCTGATCTAGATTGTCCTTTTAGTAGTTCTGAACTCCTGACCAAAAGGGGAAATATTAAGTCTGTTTTACATAGGCTATAAAAGGTTTCTGGTGAGTTGGCAAAAGGAACTCTATTCTATTCAAGCCTCAGGGACATGCAAGTTTAACTTAAATAGACCTGCCGATGAGTTAAGAACTGACATGAGTTAAGAACTGGTACATAAAATAACAGTTGTCAATTTTAGTTCATACTCTATATATTATTTTCATACACATACTAACTACTATTTGTATGGTTATTTTCAATAGGGAAACAAGTTCTGTTGTTAAATCTCTGTGTCATTGCACTTTAAGGTAGTGACCTTTATGCTACTAGGGGCATCTTGCGTGTCTCAATAGTGCTGATGTAAAGTACAGCTTGGGGAATAATGTCAATAATATTGCCATAATTATGTACGGTGCCAGGTGGGTACTGGAAATATCAGGGGGAGCACTTTGTAAAGTATATAATTGTCTAACCACTATGCTGTACACCCGAAACCAATACAAAAAAAGATTGAAAAGTAAACTGTAATTGCAAAACAAAAATTAGGGAATCCAGTACTTGAAAAATGGAGTGTCCCTTGAGCCACTTAATCATACCTGAGGGGATTCCCTCCTTTTCAGACCACAAGGTCGTGCCCAGGTGCCAGGGTCCCGCAGTGGTAAGTTGCGTGAAGACTGGGCATGGTCCTGGCAAGAGGCACCCTATGAGAAGCTGCTTGGCAAACTACAGAACAGCCATGAATGTCACATACCTGTACTGACCACATGTTGCACTGTGCTTGGTCTTTCCTAGTTCCCGGGCCCATTGGGACTTTCATAGTCAGAGATGGCAGCAAAGGTAAGATTTTTTTTTTTAACTTATAAGAGAAAAAGGTAAATTTTAGTCTTTAAAGTCTTGGTGTTCTCATTCCATGAGGGAGAAGACCAAAGAAATACATCAGAAACTAAAGGTAAAAGCACCACTGGCGGCATTGCTCAACATCTTTTGTCCCCGGTGCTGAGGAATGGGCTGGGCCAGCAGGCACTTAGGGGGCAGGGAGGGAGGATCCAGAAGACATGCCACTCATTAGTCCACGTGGTTCTTGGCAGCCATTTCACACTGGGAACTAGTTGCTTAATTACAGTGGATAGAAAGCGCCAAGGTGCTGGATGTCCAGTCCTTATTTCCCTGCATCCTGTCTAAAAACGATCATTAGTAGCTTCTGTCCCACTTTGCATCGTGCTCGGCCCTTTTTAATATATTTCTTTATTGATTTCAGAGAGAAAGGGAGGAGAGAGATAGAAACCTCAATGATGAAAGAATCATGGATCGGCTGCCTCCTGCACACCCCCCACCAGGGGATCAAGCCCACAACCAAGGCACATACCCGTGGCTGGAATCGAACCCCGGACCCTTCAGTCCACAGGCTGACGCTCTATCCTCTGAGCCAAGTCGCCTAGGGCCTGTCCCACTTTTTTGAGGGCCATAACGCTAAGCTAATTATCCTGTGCATACCTCATGTACACACTTCAGAGCAGGTGTGCATACACTCAGTTTCCATTGTGGGCATGGACCTGTCATACCCTCTATGGCCAGAAGCATCCTAAAGTACAGTAGGTTTTTAGTAGATACTCAATAAATACGTGTTGATAAGTGGATTAAACATCTTGAATTGTGATGTTTAGCCTACACCTCCCTTTATTTTGTAGAAACCATCGTCGGAAACCTCTGTGCCTTGGTCTTGTCATCCAGTATATGCGAGATACTGGCAGCATTATTATCAAGCAATGGCTTGGATGCGAAGCCACCAGCATGCCTACCGGAAGGCCATGGAGTCTTATTTCAGTTCCCCCTGGTACTTCCCTCCAGGAGGTCTCCCCCAGGGCCTCTATGCTCCCAAAGGGAAAGCCCCTCAGTCCTTCTATGGCCATCACTGGTCCTCCCAGGACCCCCACCACGGTTACTCACATCCTCCAAGGTCCGGGCAGCATCCCCCCGAAAGCACGAGCGAAGACCAGTCCTGGACCACAGAAGAGGAGGCGGAGACCGACTCGGAGGATGAGGTGGAGTGTGACCTGAGCAACATGGAGATCACCGAGGAGCTCCGCCAGTACTTTGCCCAGACCGAGAGGCACCGGGAGGAGCGGCGTAAGTGCAGAGCTGCCTTCACGGACTCCCTTCCTTTGCCCTGCATCCTGCAGTTTTCCCGCCCCCGGTCTATAAATTTACTTTCAGACTCCTCAGCTGGGTGCAGATGCTATTCCAAACCCAATCACAGGCCTGGAAAAGCCATGGGGACATTGCACCTTGATTACATTAGTTTCCAGAGCTATTTTTATATAGGCTTTCTTCTTAGTTCTAGAACAAAGCTTAACCCAGGAGTATCTCTAACGTTTATTGAATGTTAGAGACTCCACCAGATGGAGAGTGTGTATGTGTGCATATGCGTGTGCATGCATGTGTGCACGCATGTGTTCCCTGATCTACACTATAGTTCCTTGAGGCACTAAACCCATTTTACAGATGAGGAAAGTGAGCCTTTAGGAGGTTATTTGACTTATTCCATGGTACACAACTAATCATTTGCTGTCAGGAATCAAACCGAGGTCTGCCTGACCCCAATTCCTGTGCTCCTTGCTCATGCACAAACTTAGGGTATGGGTTTTGTACCTAAGACAACTGGGTTCCTAAAATACTGTTGCCAACCAATACACGGCTCTGCGCCTTCCATGGTACTGCAGACCTGCCATTTCTTAAATATTAAACTCCCTACCCTCAAAGTAGAGATCAGTCTGACCCTAAATAGAATAGCAAAATGCCTAGTACTTACTTAAATTTTCCGATTTGATCCTGCATTGAGACTGTTTTTCCAGGGGTTAGAGAATTGTGATAATGGTCTTATACTTTCAGTCAGAAAGCAGAGATTTTCTTTTTTAAATTTCTGACTACAAAGAACTAGAACTGCTTTTGGTGCTCTCCTTATTATTGAAGTTATCAGATCACTTATATTTTAAGTGTCTCTAATAACTATACAATTATCTGTTATTTTCTATTATATTCAGTAGCAAGTCTCAATATTGTTTGTATTAAGTTCTAATTATATGACAGTTTACCTGTCATTTTTAGTAAACAGAAACATGGAAGTCTGGGAAGAGTTTCATTTCCATTTTGAAGGATCATACTTTCATATTGATGGCCTAGCATGTATTGATCTAGGAACTGAGCAATGGGCTTTGTATAAAGCATCACGCTCTTTGGTGTCTTTGCTCGTCATTCTTCCTTCACCAAACTATTCATTCAGGTTTTGTTTTTCTTTCCTTCTTTCGATTAAACTGTTGACTTCTTTGGTGTGCATTAGAAAGTATATCCAAATAAGTATTTTTAAAACAGTACTTACAATACACATAGAATACATTTCTCTCCTTGAACTTCAGGAAGTCTACTTTTTTTCAAAATACATACAAAATAACCATTCTGTGAGGGAGAGTATGCATTGGCCCATGTCCACATTTGGTTGGAATGCTGTTTGTTACTTTAAAAAAAATATGATGGTGGTGGGGCTTATTTCTGTTGTCCTTATCAGAAGATGTTTTTCCCCCAAAAGATTGATAATTTTACGATGAATGTTGCAGTTAAGGATGGGAGCAAACCCAGTCATTGGAGAGGCCATTTTGACTTATCTGCTAATCTACACTAATAAAAGAGAAAGATGCAAATTGACCTACTTTTGTGATGCCCACCAGCCAAACAGGTGTGAGTATGCAAATTAAACCAACAAAGATGGTGGGTAAATTTGCATACGCAGACACCAAGCAGCCAGGGGCAGGGCGGGATACAGGTGTTGCACACCGCCCTAGCCACTCAGGGCCTCTGGGCAGCGTGGGAAGGTGAGGCCGGAGAAGAAAGGACCGGCAGCCAAGGAAAGAAAGGCCCATTCTTGCACGAATCTTTGTGCATCGGGCTTCTACTGTAAAATAAACCTGATACAGTTATTCAATAAAAAAAAAATAGATATGGCCGATGCTGGTTTGGCTCAGTGATAGAGCGTCGGTCTGTGGACTGAAAGGTCCCAGGTTCGATTCCGGTCAAGGGCATGTACATTGGTTGCGGGCACATCCCCGGTAGGGGGTATGCAAGAGGCAGCTGGTTGATGTTTCTCTCTCATCAACATTTCTAACTCTCTATCTCTCTCCCTTTCTCTCTGTTAAAAATTAATAAAAATATTTTTTTTTAAAAATAGATATGAATGAAATGAACTGAAAATAATGAAATGTGTTCTTCCAGGGTGAGCAGTTCTGTTACAGATATGGTTCAGAATTATCCCCATTCCTTCCTCTTGCCTTTGTCAGAATCCTTGGTAGGTTAAAATAAGTCATGAAAATTATCTTCTACATTGTGCCTGGCACTTACTGTTATTTTAAATATATGAGAAAAGTATTTTGTTATTAATTATGAGCCTTAAATCGGAGGTTTTGAAATCTTACCCCACAAAGTGCTAAACTTGCTATGGTTCTGTGAGACATTTTACAAAGTGAGGCTTGGAATGCTATATGAACTTGATGAACTTTATGTTTTGGTTGATTTCCTAAGTCATCTTCATTCAAGGCTCCAAATTGCACTGTTGTCATTGCTATCATGAGTTGAGTTGTGTCCCTTCAGTAAGATATATTAGAATCCCAACCCCCACCTCCCCAAACCCCGGACCTCAGGATGGAGCCTTATCTGGAGATAGGGCCTTTATAGAAATAATCAAGTTCAAATGAGGTCATTAAGATGGGCCCTGACCCAGTGTGACGGATGTATTTATAATAAAGGGGACCCCTGGACACAGACACCCCCAGGTGGAGACGGGAGCTGTGCTGCCACCAGGCTAGGAACTACCAGGAACGAGGAGGGGCCGGGCCAGATCCTTCCCCAGCACCTTCCCTGCCGAGGGGGCACGGCCCTCCCCACCTTTGAGCTCAGACTTCTGACCTCCAGACCAGAGACAGAACATTCCCATTGAGCCACCCAGGCTTTGTGCCCTGTAACGGCGGCCCTGGGAAACTCTGCAGTCACCCTGCGAGAATTGACTTTGTTCCCAAATGCAGCCCAGGAGTGGGACATAAAGGGAACTGGAAAGGTCTTACCATCTCTCTGAAGAAAATGGGGTGTATGTTTGTTTTCCCGTGACCTAGAGAGCAAACCAACAAAAAGGGGAGCTTTGGCTGGCTGGAGTGGCTCAATGGTTGAGCGTCAACCTATGAACCAGGAGGTCAGGGTTCAATTCCCAGTCAGGGAACATGCCCAGGTTGCAGGCTTGATCCCCAGTATGGGGCATGCAAGAGGCAGCCAATCAATAATCCTCTCTCATCATTGATGTTTCTGTCTCTCTCCCTCTCCCTTCACCTTTGAAATAAAATATATATATATATATATATTTTAAAAGGGGAGTTTATGAAAACCCTTACAACCTTCATCCTTGACCTTATTCCCCAGTATTTACATTATTAGTACTAACACTAGAGGCCCTGTGCATGGAATTTGTGCAAGAGTTGGCCTTCGCAGCTGCCTCAATCCCTCCCTCGCAGCCACAGCAGCTGCCTCAGTTCCAAGGCTGCAGCCCCAGCTTTGTCTAGAGGTTGTCTGGAAGAAGGTTGTTCCACTGCTCGCACTTTGGTCGATTTGCACATTACGCTTTTATTATTATAGACTAGAGGCCTGGTGTACAAAATCCGTGCACTCTGGGAGGTCCCTCTTGCAGTCTGGAAGCCCTTGGGGAGAGGCTCCCGCCACCACTACTGCACTTGCCAGCCATGAGCCTGGCTTCTGGCTGAGTGGCACTTACCCTGTGAGAGCACACTGACCACCAGGGGGCAGCTCCTGCATTGAATGTCTGCCCCCTGGTGGTCAGTGAGTGTCATAGCAACCGGTTGTTTCACTGGTCGATTTGCATATTACACTTGTATTATTATCAATTATACAGAGGCAGCTCTGGCAGAACCACTCAAGTCACAGGATTCCACCACATAGTAGCTAGAGGTTCTTAACCTCTTGGGGGCCACCTGCCCTAGCTTTTCTGTGCCTCAGTCCCCTCACCTGTGAAATGGGGATCCTAATTAATGGGGTGGCAGTTATGAAAATTAAGTGAGATAAGAGTGCTTGGTACAAACTCAGTGCCCAAGAAAAGTTACTTGTCATGGTTCCTAATAACTCATCCTTGATTGTGAATTATTAACCATAAACTGGTTTATTCAGATAACTATCCTGCTTAGTGCTTGATTCCGATTCTGTACATTTTTTATAAAGATGCTCTATGACTTCCAAAAAGTCATATATTTCTGCTCTAGGCAGCACTTACAAAACTCTTAAATTGATCACAATATTTAATAATTAAATATTCAAAACATAAATAAATTTTGGCGTCTGTCAAATTTAGCCATTAACACAATTTAGTCCACGTAGTCATTAACACAACTTTCAGTTCTGTTGCCAGGACATTCTTTCTCAACATAACTTACTAAAGTAAGATACTCGAGCCAGACAAACGAACCCACCATCCATTACTAATAACAGCGCTGAATACACTGAGCCGCTACTTCTTTGTGCTTTTTACAAACGTGTCCTTGTAGCAAAATTCAAAACTACTCGCCCTAGAGTCTCTGCTCTGCTTTTGTGTCCCGCAGTCTGCCCTGCAAGCATTATGCATTCCCCAGGGGGCGTGAGAATTGTCTGGCGAGGGTAAGACTCTCACTGCCACAGACTCAGTCTCTGTTAGAAGTAGCTGCCAGGGCTTGGCCCTGCACCCCCAATAACAAAATAACGGGCAGGGCTTCATCGGTGTTATTTTTTTCACCGGCACTTTCGGTGAAATCTGCAGATAGGGTGAATACGCCTTCCTTGGAGCAGTAATGAATGATGGGATTCAGACGGAAGTGATTTGAATGCCCAGGGTGCCTTCCAGTCCGTCGCCTTTGCTAGAAACAGTGGCGGATTAGTTCTGTACACGGGCGGGAAATGCTTCAGAAAGCGACGAGGGACCTGCGTAGTGTGAAAGCTTGCTTGAAGTTGTTTTGTTTTGCCCTTTGAAGCACTACCATATACTTCATCATGAAGGGCAAATTCAACTCTGAATATGAATCATTTAGAGAACACAGAGTCTTACAAAC